GACGTGATATGAAAACTCGTCTAATACATAGTATCTGTTTAACCACAAATATTTGTCTTTACACAAAGAGCATTTCTAACCATTTGGTGAGGCAGTACTGCATCAAATACAAGGATGCTAATAACTGTTTTTACTTTCAGGTTCTGAGTCTTATTTTGTCTGATATTATTGATGATCTGTTGGGTCTGATCGCAAGTGGTCCAACCATTGTGAATGATTCCTCACCTAAAGACTGTCTTGATATCATCCATAAATTCCATGCAAACAATGAGATGCCTGTCTCTGTCATGACCTATCTACAAAGCCATAGCGACCAGTCTCCTCACCAACAGGACTTTAGCAACCAGCTTACTAAGAACAGTGGAGATGCAAACTTCAAACACGTACAGAATGTATTAGTCGGTACAAACAAAATAGCGGTACAGAGTGTTGTAAATGAAGCTGAAAAACTTGGATATCAAACATTCGTCTACAAAACCAATATTAATGGTGAAGCCAGGGACATTGGTAAGACATGTGCAAAGATTGCGGCATATGTCTATTCTATTTATCAAAGTAAATGTACAGAAGTAAACAGTCTCAAAGAAACAGGACTAACAGACAATGACATTGCAGCATTTGAAGATGTCACAAAGAAAGCAAAGAAAGCAAAAAAACCAGTATGCATCATTATTGCTGGAGAAACAACCGTCACAGTGACAGGAAAAGGAAAGGGAGGAAGAAATCAAGAACTGGCCCTTGCTGCTGCCGTCTGTATGGATAATATAAAGTTGTTTGGTGACATGGCACACAATGAATACCAAGTATGCTTACTCAGTGGTGGTACTGATGGACAGGATGGACCAACAAATGCTGCAGGGGCATTGGCTTATCCAGGTCAGGTGATAAAGGCCAGGGAATCTGGATTAGATGCAGAACAATATCTAAAAGATAATGACTCATATCATTTTTACTCAAAGTTCAATGATGGAAAGGATCTTCTTGTGACTGGCTTGACTGGAACCAATGTGATGGATATAATGCTGTTGTTAATTAGCCCACCAAATTGAAATTGTGCAATATGTATGGGTAATTGCATGAATAATTGTAAATTTCAATGAAATTGTAAATGTAAATATCTTGTAAATGCCACAGTTAGCTCATCATTTTGTAAATGTGCCAGTCTTGGTCATCTAAAATGTTAAAATTGAATTCTCCATGCAATTGCTTTGAACAATGTACAGTAGTAAACTTTGTAAAATCACATAAATACAATATTTTAATGGATACCATGCAACATTGAAAACATTCATTATTATCCACATTCTCTATAGCTTGGGATTGTAGAGGCTGTGTGAATCCCAGGCTTAGTGTGAAAAATTTACAAGGCTCCTTCAAGTGTATCATTTACTTGATTTCCTTGTCGAAATTGTGGTGTTTATAAACTGTAGCTGTTTCACATGTAACTTACATGAAAAAACAAATGGGCTGTAATGGAAATATTGGTAAATGGAAAACCTAAAACAGTCAGTTCATGTAATTGTGAATCTACAGTATATGCCTATGTAGACATTGGCAGTTGTGTAGCAGAGTCAAATGTAAAGATATACAACAACAAAATAGGTAATGGTAATATAGCACAATTTAATATTGGTGATACAAATACAGTTTTAATAAACTTGGTGATTTGTTTCAGGTCAGTGTGTGGGTCAGTTCATATTGGGATGCTCACCAGACCAAAAACAATTTTTGCAGATTCACCAGCAGGGAATAAAATGCAATAAAATCCAAACATTTAGGGTTTAACCCTTTATCAGCTACCATCAAATATGGCCAACTGGTGGCCATCTTGTTTTTTTGGCAATACTACTGTATCTCTTTCATTTTTCCATCAATGTTTAGCACATAAATAAATACATGTTCATTTTGTGAATTGGTTAATGATAGCCGTCTAGTTTGTAGGGATACATGTGCATGTTGTCATATAAGTATTTATATATTTCTGATACCAATGTAGTCTTGTATTTTTGTTCAATTTATCATAATACATGTCTACTGTTAAATGACTAATTTTCACTGGGTTTAAATTTCACTGATTACCATTTCAGGCATATTCAAGGGGTTTTAAATTCATGTTTTATCATTTAGATGTGTTCTATGCTAAATTTTACATATTCACTGGGTTTTCATTTAGCACATTTTCCAGTCAGTGCAATTAAAACCCAGCGAATAATTAACCCTTTTCAGTATGTTATTTGTATGAATATTGTTCATAGTAAAAAAATTATTAAATATAAAAAAACAAATGTACATAAAGTATTTAGAATAACATGAGTGAGTCTGGTTGAGAATTAATACATGAATGGTAAGATTTCCCCTTGAGTTGTACATTAGCTTGGACAACAGACTATGGGTGTGAATAAACTTGAACTGACATTGTACGTTAGTCACTTATGTACAAATTCATGTTTGACTTGTACTTCATTTTCATAAATTATAAAGTGTCATTGGGCAACACCATAACAAACAAGTCATTGTCAATGACACGTCCCCGTTCCGTTCATATTTGAGTGACATATACATTCAAAGCAGATCATGACCGAAATGCACCTGCATATGTACAACACATTGTACTAAATCTGAACAAAATCCATGCATGCATGACTGAGATCCGGTTCTGGAATTGTGAAAATACGTGATTTTAATGCATTTTCGGCCTTAAAATGGCCATCATTCAGCTATTGCTAAGCGGATCATGAAACAAATGCACATATCTATTTGTGACATGATGCACCATGTGTGTGTGAAGTTTGAACTTGATCAATCCAGACATGTCTTGGATACGGATCCAGAACTGAATTCTTTAAGAAAATGGCCGCCAGTCGGCCATTTCGAACTTGATCCGGGAAAAAAAAATGACGTGCATCAAGGTCCTATTATGTTTAATGTAAGTACCGAATTTGAACAAAATCCGTCCATGCATAACTGAGATCCGGGTTCGGAATGGTGAAAATGTGCGATTTCAATGCATTTTCGGCCTTAAAGCGGCCGCCATTTGGCTATCGTTAATGGGATCATGAAACAAATGCACATACATATTTGTGACATGATGTACCTTGTGTGTGTGAAGTTTGAACTTGATCAATCCAGACATGTCTCGGATACGGATCCAGAACTGAATTCTTTAAAACAAAATGGCCGCCAGTCGCCATTTCGAACTTGATCTGAAAAAAAAAATGACGTGCATCAAGG